TTTTTTTTTTTTTTTTTTTTTTATTTCTATATAAGATAAGTAGGGACTAAATAGCGAGCGAAAAACATAATTTTAACTTGATAAGCACGTTCGCTATATTGATGATTTTTTAACTTGAACAATGAGCTTCATCCTTTCACTGGCTCGAGAGAGACTTAGCTTATGATTGAATCATAAATCAATCGTTCATTAGAGGTACTTAAGGTGAAAAATGTAATTACAAGATTGATTTGACTGTAGTGATTATATCCATGTGTTGTCGTACCGTGCATAAAAGTTCCACTTTTGGTTTGAAGTGAAAATTGATTAATTAAATAGTTTAATTGTTTTTATCAATTTTTCTATTAAATATATTAAATGTAAAAGTAGAAGATATATTTAATTTTTAAGTATTCAACTTAATATTTAATATATTTTTATTGTATTTGACCTATTTGATATTAAAATAATTAATGTATAAATACATTAAATAAAAATATATATTTAAAATTGGATTGAAATTGAAATTGGTTGAATATATATGGGAATATTTTATGATATTTAAATATAAATTAAATAAAAGTATATATTTTTAATATATTAGATATTAATATATTGTTTCAAATCGTGAAAGATGTCTCAAAGTTAAAGAATCTCACATCTCTTCATAATATTCTTTAGAGAGTTCATTCTACATTGTTTTTGTTTTTGTTTCGAGAGGTTATACAAAATTTGAGATTCTTTAACCAGAAAGAATTCAGTTTAGGTGTGGGATACCTATCTAGAAGTGTTCAACTCAATCATGTAGGATGGAATCATCAAAGATTTGACCTTTTCGAACTTTGTTTATAACTCACTATAGGCTCGAGAAACAAAGGGAAGATGTGTATGAATGAGATATATAGCAACAAGAAGAAGGAAAAGGATTGATCTTGTGTTCGAGTCATAACGATTTATGACAAGAGATTCAACGTTGGAGGAATTAGAGTAAGAAAATTAAGATCTGTTCATTCCCTACACAAGATGTGTCGAAGATAGTAGTGAACGCACTACGCCGATATTAGAGATTCTCTAATATAAGCAAATGAATCAAATCGTTAACCAAATTGAATGGAAAAAGCATACGAAAATAGACGAGGAATGAAGACTTACCACAAGTTGTGTGGTGGTCGTTGGATGAAGAAATGCCTACAAACTACAACCAAACAATGAAAAATGAATGGTCAATCAAAAGAGCGATCATCATCAAAGTTGAAAAGGCTAACCATCGACACGTTGAGGTTGTTATCAAAGTCGAAGAATGACGAAACAAAAAATCAAATGGACATCAAGCTCCACATTTCAGATGATGTCGCTTATATAGGTTTTTCATCTCATCCCGTGTGCACAACTATAGATTTAGAGATCTAGAGTCGCACTCTTATATACTGTAGGATAAATTGTGTCCATCGATATAACTACTTCATGTAAGTCGATCTTTCACAAGATACTTGTAACTATAGCTGAATCAAAAGTTCGTTTTACCCCTTATGATTACATCTTACACTTCAAGTATTATTCATCCTAAAATGAACACTTTCTTTATAGTCCAATCATAAACAAATTCCATCGTGAAGGAGTAAAAGTGTGAGGCTCAATTGTTTAAGTCCCAAAAATCAACATTTTAAAGAACTAATCAATCTATTTATCTTATATGGGAATGAGTGAATTTCATCTCATCAAACGTAAGTTCTTGCCTTTTTATTTGGTTGGAAAACTTACTACATTAGGGGTAAAAGTCACTCTTATGCTACAAATCAAAGGATAAGCCCTCACACGCTGGAGTTCATGACTTACTCAAAATTAAAATAATCCTTTTATAAAATATTAATATTCTCAATTAATAGATTTATAAAGAGAGATTAAATATTTTGTGGTATGGTCATATAGAAACTTATTGTGTATAATACCTCTATTCACAGATCTCTAGGTAAATGATTTGGATCAAACTATTTGTAATTATTACATTTGATCATAATAATATAGGACATCATCCGAAATAACACAGGTCTTCATGCATACAAAGTCAAAATGACGAAAATCTCAAAAAATTGCCCCAACGCTTTTCATTTTAATGGGAGTGAGAATATTTGCTAAAATCACCGTATCTAAATAGTGGTAAAAGTTCTCTATTTATAATCATTTACCGAATCAAATAAATTACAAATGATATGAAAATAGCATAAATGGGGAGAGTAATAAATGGATACAATATATTTGACTGTAATAAAAGGGAAAATATGATAACTATGGCGAGTCATAATGGAAGGAAAATATATAGATATTTGCCTATAATAAATAGTCAAATATAATACCTATTGTAAATCATAATGAAAGGCTAAATATCATACAAGATATTTGCCTATAATAAACGGTCAAATATGATACATTTGGTAAACCATAATTCAAGGCTAAATATTCTTAACACCATCTCGAAAGTGAAGCTTGGATTTAAAAAATTCAAATTGAGGTCGAAAAACACTTTTTGTGAAGATATCAGCAACTTGGAGATGGGAAAGTACATATTGTGTGAGAAGTTTGACAGCGATAACAAGTTCCCAAAGGAAATGATAATCTAGTTCAACATGTTTGCCCGCTTGTGAGAAACGGGATTAGAGCAAAAAATAATAATAATAATAACACTTTTGTTGTCACATAAGAGTAAGGGTCGCTGTGAAATAGGGATCTTAAGATCATGCAAAAGATTCGTAACTCAAAAAAATTCAGCAGCAGTCGTGGCAAGAGCATGATACTCAGATTTATAGCTGGAGCGTGAGACAGTAGGTTGCTTTTTGGCACTCTAAGAAACGAGATTGTTACCAAGATAAATAAAATAGTTGGATGTAGAACGACAAGTATCGGGACAACTAGCCCAGTTAGCATAAGAATAAGCCACTAGCGCACTAGGAACAATGAATGGACGAAAGGTAAGACCAAAATAGAGTGACAAAAGGTAAGACCAAAGTGGAGTATTCCCTTGACATGGTGAATAATGTGTTTCACAGCAAGAAAGTGATCTACAGTATGGGCATGCAAAAATTGAATGACAGAACTGACAGCATGAGCAATATCTGGATACGTAATGGTCAAGTACTGAAGGACGCTAACCAAAGATTGATAGAGAGTAGGATCAAAGAAAGGAGAATCATCAGCAGTCAAGTGATGAGAAACAACCATGCGGTGTGGACTGGTTTGCTATCAAGCAACTGAGCTTGAGTAAAAATATCTCGAGCATATTTTAACTGACTAATAAATAGACCATCAAGAGTGGGTGAATCTTCATGACCAAGAAAGTAATTAAGAGAACCTGAATCCTTGATAGCAAACTTAGAATGCGGCTTGCAGTAAAGCTGACAATAAGAGATGAGTTGTTTCCGGTAACAATAATGACATCAACATAAAGAAGCAGACAGATAAGATTAGATTGCTGATGAAAGACAAAAAAAGGACGTATCAGCACAACTGCAAGAAAAATCAAGTGAGAATGAATTAGCTAAAACGTTGAAAATAGGCACGAGGAGCTTGTTTTAAGCCATAGAGAGTTTTCTTTAATAGACAGACATGAGTAGGAAGTCGATGATCAATATATCCAAGAGTTTGTTCCATATGAACATTTTCAATAAGAGTGCCATTGAGGAAAACATTTTTGACATCAAGTTGCCGAAGAGGTCATTTATTTGTAATGGCAATAGAAAGCACAACACGGACAGTGGTAACTTTGACAACCGAATTGAAAATGTGAGTGTAGCCGAGACTAGGTACCTGAGCATAACCTTTGGCAACAAGACAGTGAATATATGAAACAGGAGAAAGAGTACTAGGGTAATGGGTAGGAATGCACTATTTTCTACGATCACAAGGTCCTTACCCATGTAATTTTTAGACTGACTCAAAATAGATGGGTTGACGGTCATATAAGCCGTAGCCCTAGAGCCCAAAAACCAATCAGTAGCTTCGAGTCCAGCAATAGAACCAGACGTGTTGAAGGCTTCAGCAAGGTGAGCATGAGCAGAATCAGGCCAAACATACCATGGTTGCAGCGGTCAGCATAATGGCCCTCAGTATCATCTCAACGCTAGCCTCTCGAGTCGTGTGGCTTAATTTCGTATTCTTTCACTTGAAATCATCCCCTTTTGTCCAATTAGCTCTATTATTTCTCCAAAAATGCTATGGTTAACAAAATTTAAAATTTAAAAATCAAAATCAAAATTTTCGTAGTTTAGAGTTAGATAGATATTTAAAAAAAAAAAAAAATTAACAATCATAAAGGCATTGGGTTATGCCCATTATTGCCTTCAATTCTAGAGAGAGGAGAATGTGTATGCAAAGTTTAGTGGGCACATGGAGGGAGATTAGACTCCATAATGAAGATAATATAACATATTCTTTAATTATATTTAAATATAATATCAAAAACTTAGAATATAAATTCATTTTCCTACCTCATTAACATAAATATAATTATTACCGACAAAATCATTTAATTAAAATATCAATCTGTCTAAATAATTTTTCGTTTTCAACTCGTTCTTTAGTTCAACACGTGAGATAAGAGAATTCAAATCTCTGACTTTTAATTAGTCTAGTGATGTTCAAAAAAATTAGATGATCCGAATAACTCGATCCGATCCAACCTGTATGATTTGGGTTGGATTATTAATTTATTTGTGAAAACTTTATGAATTGAATTTCTTCTCGTCCTTTGATTAATTTTTTTATTAAAAAATTTAGGTTTTTGTTTATGATACGATAATCTATGCATTTATTTATTTTATTTTTATTATTATTTATTCTCCGACCATTCTTAAAAATAATTTTTAACTATTTGTAAAGTAATTTTATTGAAATTGAGTTGTAAATGGTAATGAATATGATTTCCTATTAAAACCAAGTTACCACGGCATGAATAACATTATAATGCGTGAAAATTTTATTTAAAGGAAATATTTAATAGCTAGATCATGGACTCACACATTTATTATAAAATCATTAAAATAATGTAGCAAAAAATAAATAATACTAATTTAAATAAACTAAAGAAAATAAAGTATTTGCTCGGATCTAAATTAAGATCTATGAAAGAAAAACAATGTGGATGCATCTACCTTAATTTTGGTCTCATGGTCGTTACTACAACGTTGTCATTCGTGCAGAGGGGCGTGGAGTGAGAGCCATTTGAGTAGTAGAAATGGAAGAATGGAAAGAATAATAACAGGGGAGAGGGGCGAGAGCCATTTGATCAGTAGAAAAAGTTGAAAAATCAGTGCTGAGTCCACGAAGGAATTGGTGCACTTTATCAATGTCCTCGACGGGTCTGCCAATGGCATGAAATTGGTCACAAATTGTTTTGAAGGTACGTGCATAACTAAGAATGATGGTTGAACATAGTTTCTAACACAAGCCAAACGTCACGTGCAGTGGAGAGACCAACGACAACAATGACTTCTTCGATGAGAGAGGAGAGTAGGAGACAGAGAAGCTGTTAATTTTCCACGCCAAATATTTGGTGTTGAATGTTGAGGAGGTTTCTAGTTCAAAGCAAGGTGGTGGAACCACAGTTCCATCAACATAGCCCAGCATGTCTTAACTCTCAAGGAGAGGAAGAAGTTAGCTTTTTCAAAGAAGATAATTGGAGGAACAAAGTTTGATGGTGATCATATGGATTACAGTGTTGCAAGTAAGAATATCATAAGAGAATTCGAAAGTCAGAGAGAAAAAAAAGGATGAGGGTTGTTAAACCGAAAGTGATCTGATACCATGAGAATATTTACTAAAACCACCCCACGGTGAAATTTCTCTACTTATGATCATTTACAGAATAGAGAAATATGGTAAATTACAACCTATAATAAACGGTTAAATATGATACATATGTTAAACCATAATTCAAAGCTAAATATCCCTAACAAACTGGATATCCACTCCACAGACGAGCTCATACACGTACCCTTGAACATGACCTTCAACTAGTGTACATTCACGTTATCGGTATACTATAGAGGGAAGGGAGCGCACATAGTATCGTAGTATACACAATACCTATACACATCCATACTACCCATAGCAAATATATTAATTTAAATGAGGTTGCCATGTCATCTTTTCTATAATTAAAAAAAAAAAGATTTTTTTGAATAATTAAAATCAATAATTTAGGGATATTAATTGAAAATGACGTATGGTGAAAAGGGTTTTTTTTTTTTTTTCCATAAAGAAAATCAATTAATTTATTGAAATTTAAATCCATATTTGATGTAATTGGTTGTTTTATTATTTTTATATGGAATATTAAATCAAATTCATTTTCCTTTTATTTTGGACTACTTATCTCTTATAATGTCTTATCCTCCACACTTTACTATAATTTATTTATTTATTTATTGTTTGTTTGTCTTTGATATTTTCTAAGATTAATCCATCCAAAATAGCTTACATACACTTCAATAAATTTATAGCTTAAATATTTTCAATCTAGTCCTTGTATTTTTAAAATATTCATTTTGGTACTGATATATTTTAATATATTTTAATGGTGATGATTTTAATTTTTATTTACAAAATTTTAACATAAAATTTAGGGAAAAAAGAGTTAAAATGAAAATTAACGGACCAAAATGAATATTTTGAAAGTATATTACCAAATAAAATAATATTTAAACCTAAATTTATTAAGCTTATAAATTAAATTATTAAATATTTTTTAGTAAAATTTAACTATAAATTTGTGAGGATCAATTTTGAAATGAATGGTTTTTATGGTCCCACTTGATCCAGGAAATGGTTCGATCGGTGGATAATATTCGAATGGTCAACCAACGCATAGACGTGGTGGTCATAAGTCTACATCATTCAATTAATTTTCGGACGATTGAAAAAAAAGACAAGATACGTTGGAAGACAAAACATGAAAAGAACTAGAGATTCGATTAGTCGAGATTTGTGAGTTGAAATTTCACCTCGACCATCATTGATTTAACAAATTATTTATAAACATAGTCTAAAGAAGCCTCGTTTTCACGTATATGCACAATTCTTCACTGTTTCATCGACCTGTATAAAGTTCAATTGATAAAGATATCGGTAATCTCAAACAATGCATGAGCATCACAAACAAATCGACGGTCATGATTTTCTTATAGAATTCAACGTGATTTTCGAGTAATGACATGTAACCTCATCCATTTGAAATTGGGACAACCTTAATTTGATGAATCATGTGTTCATATTTAAATGTTGGAGAGGAAGAAGGGGGCATCAATATTGTTACAAGAAAAGTCAAGAACTTGAATTTAAAGATTCAAATTGGTCCACCTTCCAAAATTCAAGATGTGGTCATTAACAACAAACAAAAAACATTAATGAATGGGTCAAGTCCTCCTTGGGAAACCTCGTTCTCATCACGAATTTTTAGGATAAAGATGTGAGATCACACGTCGGTTGGAGATGTGAATGAAACATTTCTTATAAAGATGTGGAAACCTTTCCCTAGTAGACGCGTTTTAAAATCGTGAGGCTGACGGTAATACGTAACGGGCCAAAATGGATAATATCGGCTAATAGTGGGTTTGAGTTGTTACAAAAGATGATCAATTCAAGGATAAGAATTTTGCTAGCGTTAGGTGTGAGTTGTTACAAAAGATGAACAATTCAAGGATAAGAGTTCTTGGGTTTAGTTCGAGTAATTCTAGCATTTAATCTTAATCTAGATGGATTTGATGGTGAGGTGAGGGTTTCGAATATTTGAAGACATCCTCCAAAACCAAGAAGGAAAGAATACGAGCGGAATATCAAGAAAACTGTGAGATCCCACGTTGGTTGGAGAGGAAACTAAACAATTTTTACAAGGGTGTGGAAACCTCTCTCTAGCAGACGTGTTTTAAAAACTTTAAGGAGAAGTCCAGATGGGAAAGCCCAAAGAGAACAATATCTACTAGTTGTTACAAATGGTATCAGAGGCGACGCTGAACTCTAAAGGAGGGTGGACTATAAGATCCCACATCAATTGGAGAGAGGAACGAGTGTCAGTGCTGGGCTTTGAAGGGGGATGGGATTGTGAGATCTCACATCGGTTGGAGAGGGTCGAAGCATTCTTTATAAGGGTGTAGAAACAAACCTTAAGAGGGGATTCTGGAAGGAAAAGCCCAAAGAGAACAATATCTTCTAGTGGTGGGCTCGGCTCGTGTTATTACAAAAACCAACCTCCAAAATGAGCCCAACAAGGGTTTCAGTCAAGCAAACTAAGACAAATCAAATCAGTAGCACCAAAATTGCACAAAAACAGACATCATTAATCTAATCAAATCATCAGTAAAGTTGGTGATTGTGTTGATTTTTGTCAGTTTGAAGGGTATTGGTAAATTTACCTGCCTCAGCTTTTTCAAACAAAGCCTGCGGCTGCATCACTTTAACCATGTTCTTCATACTTCTCTCTTCTCCTTCCAGTTGTACTTTCATTAATGCCTCTGCTTCTTTGTGAATTGGCTTGAAGTATTCTTCAATGGCAGACTCCTGCATTGTACAAAGTTCTGTCATAGATAATAAGATGATTGCGCCTCTCGAGGGCCCGATCTGTGACACCTCTCGTATACCCATCTTCCTGTGTTTAGGCTGCCTTTTAACAACCCTCCCAATGATAAATTCTATCCCACATCACTACTGGATGTACTACTAACTTTCGTGCCCGTAAAACGGTAACGCATAGCATTATTAACTAATCGAAACTAGAAATAACTTAAGTGAGTATGCTAATTCAGTTGAATGCATTAATCACCATGTCTTATAGAAAGTAAAGGTCCATCTCCCAATCTGCATTTCTTGTGTATGTGTAAGTTCCTTCTTTTTGTGTGTTGCTTTTGTGTCACGAGAAATATTAGGACCAGATGAACGGAACATTCTTTATAAGGGTGTGGAAACCTCTCTCTAACAAACACGTTTTAAAAACATTGAGGGGAAACTTGAAACGAAAGCCCAAAGAGAACAACATTTGCTGGCGGTGGGCTTGGACTGTTATAAATGGTATCAGAGCCAGACACCGAACGATGTGTTAGCGAGGAGGCTGAACCCCGAAGGGGGATGGACACCATGCGGTGTGCAAGCAAGGATGCTAGGCCCTAATGGGGGGTGGATGGGGGTCCCACATCGATTGGAGAGGGAAACGAGTGCTAGAGAGGACGCTGGGCACCCAAAGGGAGGTGTGGATTGTGAGATCTCACATCGATTGGATAGGGGAACGAAACATTCTTTATAAGGGTGTGGAAACCTCTCCTTAGTAGACGCGTTTTAAAAACCTTGAAGAAAAACCCGAAAGGGAAAGCCAAAAGAGATGTTGACAGATTATGAATATGGTAAGCTCTTTAACTACACACACACACACGTGTGTTCGTGCTAATCTTGTTATGGTTTTCTTATAAAAACAACGACATGATTTTCCCCGGGAGCTGAAAATCGGAGAAGAAACGTTTCTAATATGAAATCCATCCTAAAGAAAAATGAGTATCTTACTGTTTCCTCTAACTTCTTATTTAGAGTTTGCATCTCCTCAACCATGCGACGAACTTCTCCTAAGATAGCCTGTTGGGGTACCTTTCTTATGGCAACTTTTCTTTCCTCCGCCTGGCAAAGGGTAAAACACCATTACAACATATAAAGCTTGTTCGCAAACAAGTTAGAAAGTTTTAAACACACATAAACACAGCCCCTTACACATGAACACTTAAATATCCACATAATGACGATGAAATTCTGATCAAAATGAAGGTTTGAATAACTCAGCAGCAATCTTCAAATGGTTTTAGAGCTCCTCCATTGCTCTCAAGATTCCAAGAAACCGAACTCAATCCATCTCGCTTTTTCGATCCAAACCATACAAGTTAAGTTGTCCCTAAACCTGACCATAAGTAATTTGTCAACAAAAGAAGGATGAAGAAAAGGAAATACCAAGCAAAGTAGGAAACCATTACTTCCAAATGGATGGCTGATTCATTTTTAAGTGGGTAATGATAATGAAGTTGCATTTAGAAAGAAACTCATATTCGTAACTTCACTATAAAGACAGGACAAGTTAGCCCAATGACCAAGAAAGTAACCTTGAGAAATATATTGATCGAACCAACAAAAGTATATCCTGAGAATGGTTAAGAAGATACTGATAAGGGATGTATGGATTCTCAAGAAGAGAGGAGATGAGGTGGTCCCCGGAAGCGCTAAGATCCCACGAGAGAATAGAAAGTTGGATCTCCATTGGATCTCCCCTGAATCGACCCATCTATCCTCCCAAGGAGAAGTTTGGTTTGAAACCCTGGTTCATCTATCCTCCTAAGGAGAAGTTAGCTAGGTATTATATTTTCTACCAAAAGGTCATATCAAGGATTCAATATACATTTACTAAATGCAGTTTTCACAGCTGAAGAACAGCTGACTACATTTCACTCATCTCTGTTCCTCAATCATTCAAATTGAAGGTTGTTCAAACAGGAATTATTTCTCATTTCCCAGCACAAAATGGCAGAGAAGTGTGCATTTTCCCTCATTGGGTTCTAATTTCAGTGTAGATGATAACCAACTCCATCATTTCAAAGCCAAGAAGAACACCATGATAGAACAAAAACCCAGGAATATAAACTGCATAATCAGAAGAAAACGGAAGCAAAATCGAAAGATCCAACACCAAGTACCTGTTTGAGACGCTTTTGGATCTCCAACCTAAAGGATCGAATCCGGCGCTGTTCATAGCCGGAGAGGACCCTGACGTAGAAGAGGGCTCTTCGTCCAAACTCTAAAACCTTGTCCATCCAAATCCCTCCCTGCAAACTCCCTTTCTCTTCGCGGTTTGCTTCCAAGCTTATATACACAGCTTCGTCGAGCTGGGGTTTAAGAATTAAGATGATTTTGCTTTCGTTTACATTTACATTGTGCAAATATTATTCGTTACATCATAATTTTGCTTTTTGTTTATGAATTTGAAATTCTTGAAATTCTTTAGTTTTATATCTAATCAATTTATTGATGGTAAAAATGATGAATATGTAATAGATTTCGACCTTTATTAAATTTAAAATGTGGTTGAATATGTTATAATCTTATTACACACTAAACAAGCACGAGATTTGAACATTTGACCATATGATCGAACGTACATATTTTATATTAGTTAAATTACGATTATATTGACTACTACTTAGGGACTAACACAAACTTAAAAATTAAGAGGATTTATATATACCTTATAAAATTTAAGAGATTAACATCATAGTTCAAATTACACAAGAAGCCAAACATTACCGATAAAAACCAATATCGTATGAAAACACATAAAGACAACTAAGAACATTATCCAGATGTGTCTAATATGTATGTATATGTATGACGAAAATCCCCTTTAGAGTGTTTGACTTTAAATTAAAAAATAATAAACAATCTCTAAACAGAAAAGTAAAAAGTGATTCAATTTTTTAAAGAAACTTTTGGGAGGAGTTATGTTAATCAAATGGGATTGGTTCTGAATGAAATCACCCAAGACACCTGAAAACCCACAACATAAGGAATGACAGAGATTAAGATGAACAGAGATCCCTCTCTCTCTCTCTCTCCTCTCTCCGACATCCCTTTTTCAGCATGGGAGAGAGAAAAACATACAAAACTGATATGAAATTCAAGCCCCTTCCATTGTGTCCATTGTCCAATCAGAAACACACATCAATCAGTTCAGTTATCACAAAATCCATTACAATCTACAAACAACATCCAAACACATTGGGGTTAACTATAACAGAGACAGAGAGTTCTTGAGTCCCATGCTTGTTCAGTCCCTCCTCTTCTTCCTCTCCCTCTCGTTCTTCTCAGCTGAGTTCTTAAGCTGCACACCATAGTAAACAAACATTTACAACAATTCCCATTTCAGCTAATCAACCAATTTCAACACAACCACAACTTGCTTACCATTATAATCAGAATTCGGACAAAAACAGCGACGAAATCGGTGAAGAGAGTCAATGCGTGCTTCACGTAATCCACATCACCGAGATGTGCCTTCTCAATTATCTCCTGAGTATCAACTACCATGTACCCCACGAACACCAACAGCCCGAAGTACAACTACAGATGCAACAAACAAGACAATATCAAGTCAGACCAGACCTACTGCAATTGGCTGACTGCTTCCACTACTTCCAAGCCATGGAAAAGATATAAACAAGAGTATCCATACCTCAAACTTGAAAAGGGCGGTAGAACCACCGAATATAGAGGAGGCAAAATGTAGCCAGAGTAACATTGATACGCCGGACGAAAGCAAGCCACCGAGATAAAGGAATTCTCTTCGTCTTGCCAACAAGGCTGCTGCTGAGAAACAACCGAAGGCAACCGCAGTTCCCACAAAAGCGCTCACAAGAACACTGGGAACAACCAAATTTGTGAGTCAATACAAAAATAATCATAAGTAAATATTGATTCCCAAAATCAAGTGAACATGGTATGTGAGATCCCACATCAGTAGGGGAGGAGAATGAAGCATTCTTTATAAGGGTGTAGAAAGCCTAAAGAGAACAATATCCGCTAGCGGTGAGCTTGGGCTGTTACATGGTTAATGCCCACCGCTGATATATCAATGGTGTACCTACATATAGGTATTCAAATAAATAACCACCCAGATTTGATTTTACCTTGGGTCAATCTCGACAGCCAGATGAATCAAAGGACCGATCGAAGCCCCTTCAAGAAGGGCAGCCCCCAATAAAATAGACGCCCTCTTTTTCTGAATACAAAAATGCGTGACACAAAACAAAAATTAGAATGTTAGCAACAAAAACAAACAGAGAGAGAATGCATATATAAAGAGAAGACAAATATACAACGGAGAAAAGAGGTTATAAAACAGCTTACCTCCTCATAAGGAGGGGTGGCCATTAACCATGTGATACATCCAATAGATGCAAGTGTTGTGAGAATACCGCCAATGTTCCAAAGTATATGTAGATATGCTCCAGCAGCAGATGCCACTAAAGCACAACCAAGAGTGAGGTAAACCTGCAGATTTGAAGTACTTAGCATCATTAGTCTCATTTGATAACAACACATATCGATATAGGTACATATGAAAACAGCAAAAGAAAGTTAAAACTAGAAATAATCCAATGAACTAATTGGTTAGGTTCAGCCAAGAAGAACCAGAAGTTCCAACTCTGAGGTAAAAACTGAAAGCCGAAAGGTAAATAACATAGGGAGTGTTTTTCTATCAATTCAACCCAAATCCAATCGAGAATTCTTCACCCAAACACAATTAAATCCTCTGTTCTGAGTATCAAATTCACCCGTAATCCCATGTTCAATAATTCATGTACCATTTAGATTTCCTCTACCAAAAATACCATTTCGCTGATTTAAAAAACAAGATAGTGAATCATCCAAGATTGTGGAAAACCCTAGACCAAAATTGAAAGATAACTCATCAAATTCTTGTCTAAACCCGTTCAAAATTAACCATCACGGCCATGAAAAGCATAAAACAAGAGCCGAAAATATCAATTAGAAACATCGATTCCACAAAACAGGATAAATCAAGATCCACGGTGAAATATATATAGAAAGAAGGCAAACAAAACAAATTTGTACAGAAACTGACCCGCTGAAGATGAGATTGAACGGCCGGAGAAATCTGCCGGAAGTTCTTGAGGGAATCATAGCTCCAACGGCTTCTGGATCCGGATTGAGAATCGAAGAAAGACGAGAATGCGTCCATGGCGTTGAAAAAATTTCTTAGAGAGTACGTCAAACAAACTGTGCGTAAAACAATCTCTTCACGAATGAGAGATATATAGAAATGAAGTCAAGTTTCTAGATTATTCGGATTCTCTATTTTGCCCCTGTTATTTTAACTTAATTACAAAAATGGGTTTTTCTTTTTTATTTTATATATTATACGTAATATAGAAATAAAAAAAAATGGTTAAATTATTGAAAATGTCTCGAAATTTATATTTTGTATAAAAAAATATTCATTAATTTTTATCATTTTATTAATATTTTTAAATTTTCATAAAAAAATTGGAAAATGTGTTACGACATCACAAACATACAATACATGACATCGTACATCATCACACAACGTAATATTATGGTGCATGCGCCATCATCATACAATTCTTCCAACTCCAACAATAGAATTACTTACCGAGTATTTCTTAAAATATTCAAGCGATGTGCTACTCTTATATTTTAGGTAAAGGTAAAGTGCCCTTACATGGATGATAGTGATAGGATAGTTGTGCGCCCTGTATCATGGTCATGTTCGTCCAAGGCGTGTTGCCCATGGCTGCATGCCTATGACAAGCCAAACCCTTTATGCCTTTCTATATTTAGTGTTTTACTTTTGTATTTCTAGGAAGTGCGACGTTTCAGAAATATCATATCTAGGCCTGACAGACATGAAATGCCTCAGAATGTACTATAGGGGGACACGACTAGTTGTCAACTTCTCTCTACCCAAGATTATATACTGTGAGCCTTGTTATTTTTCTCTTGCTTGCTTGTATAACGTCTTTTCTAAAAATCTCTCTCTGCCCTCGTTTTCTAAAACCTTCTCTTAAAACTAAGGTCAGAGGCTTGAGCATACGTCGCTTGGGCGTAAACGATGCAAGAACGAATTAGCTTAACTCATTTATCGTTGGAAAGTGAGTGTCACACAATCGCAAGTCTGCTGCCATCAAAAGTGTGATTATGACACCTTGTACCCTTGGATGGATGAGAGTAAGATAGTAGTATGCATTATTTTCTGTTAGTAGTTTTACATGTATTGAAGTGACTTGGAGTAAATTAATTAAAACATCCAAATTAATATTTAATATATTATAAGTATTAAATATAAAAAAGAAAATATAATTATTTTGAAAAAGAACAAAATAAATTTAAATTTGATGCATTAAGTACTAAAATAACTAAATTATATGAGACACGCTAAATAAATATATTTTTTAAATGAGTTGAATATAGTGTGATTATTTTGTTATATTTATAAATGTTTTAAATAAAACGTAATAGTTAATATATTATATTGAATATTGAAATATATTTAGATTTGGGAAAAATAGAATAATAGAGAATTCTGTAGACATTTCCGTCGCAATTTCTGGGAGATTTTATTATTATTATTTATTATTTGAAGCAAATTTAATGCTCAGTCATAACCAGGAAGATATTAAATCTTGGAGACCAAGGTTTATCATTTTCAACCATTTGTGTTCGATTTACATGTTTTATTTTAATTTTTAATAAAATAAATAAATTTTCTCTCTTAAATTTTTTATGCGATTCAAAATAGACTAAATAAGACTAATTTTAAGCAAATTCAAGAAATATTTAAATTGATAATAAAGAGATTAATGGTTGCTTTCTTAGTATTAACGCAGTATCTTTATTTAGATTAAGAATATTAATAAAACTTTTTTTTAAAATTTAAATGTATTTTTAAAATTAAGAATATTAATAAAACTTTTTTTTAAAATTTAAATGTATTTTTAAATTATTAAGTCATAAAAATATTAGTTTTAATAAAATGAAGATTCTAACAAAAATAATACATCGTAACAAAAATGGAAATAATAAATAAATAAAACAAAAACACGGAGTTTAATTCTTAATCTCACCGACTGTGAGGGAATGGAATTCTCTCAATCAAACCGACTTAGACGACTGACTTGTTTCAGACGCAAACCTTGACTTACTTAGAAGGCTTCAAATGGGATGCCCACCAAATTGAGATGAAATTAAATTTACCAAAATCTTACACACACAAATATGTAATTTTTTTTTTTAATTAAAAATTAAAATATATTCGTAGCTTCATGATATATATGACTCACTTTGCCTAAAATTCTGGAATAAGAAAAAAGCACAAATTAAAAGTTGACAACGAACAGGAGAAGGAACCAAGAACATTTCACAGCGGTGGAAAAGTAAGGAACAAAAACTAAGTCCCTATCTTATTTCTCTGCTTAAACAAGCAAAATTACAAGAACAGCCTACCACAATTTACAATATATCCACCACAAAGCGTAGCATTTGGGGTTTAGCATCTAGTCCCTCCTCTTCTTCTTCTTCTTCTTCTCATTCTTCTCTGCAGTGTTCCTTAGCTGCACAATAGTAACCCAATTGGTAATGGAAAAGAAACACCCATTTCATATCAATCACCCAAAGTAATGTTTATAAGCTTAAGCATTTTGCACCTCAACTCACCATTATAATGAGAATTCGGACAAAAACACCGATGAAATCGGTGAACAGGGTCAGTGCATGCTTCACATAGTCCATATCACCAACATGTGCCCTCTCAATTATCTCTTGAGTATCAACTACCATGTAGCCCACAAACAGCAAAAGCCCAAAGTACAACTACAAGTAAATGCAGCAAACCAAGTGAAATTGAGGAAAAGTCTTCTACAAGGGGATTATTTCTTACTCCAAATTCAACACTGATATACGTACCTCAAATTTGAAAACGGCAGTAGAACCACCGAAAATGGAGGAGGCGAAATGCAACCAGAGTAACATTGATATTCCAGAAGAAAGTAGGCCACCCAGATAGAGGAATTCTCTGCGTCTTGCCAACATGGCTGCAGCTGAGAAACAACCAAAGGCCACCGCAGTTCCCACGAAGGCACTGACAAGAACACTGGAAACAACACCATTTACAAAATCATCACTCCTTTAGAACCAAGAATGTAAAAACAACCCCAGCCAATTACAGAGGCCGAATAACTAGATGAGCAAATCACAAAACTACGGTCAAAGGAATAATAAGAACCGTTCACTACTCCAAAAGATGGAATAAACAAAGAATTCATAGCGTACCTCGAGTCAATCTCAATAGCTAAACCAATCAAAGGACCAATTGAAGCTCCTTCGAGAAGAGCAGCCGCCATTAGAATAGAAATCCTCTTTTTCTGATGACAAATAACAAGACATAAAACAAAAACATAGATATTAAGAGCATAAAAAAAAAAAAAACAGAGAAAGCATAAACATAAATCACACATACAACAGTGAGGTAACAAAATGATAAAATGGTTAAAGAAACCTACCTCTTCATAAGGAGGAGTGGCCATCAGCCATGCGATGCTTCCAACACCTGCAAGCGTTGTGAGAATACCACCAATGTTCCAAAGGATATGCAGATATGCTCCAGCAGCTGATGCAACTAAAGCACAACCGAGAGTAAGGTAAACCTGCAGATTCGAAATACTCCACAAAATTAATTCTATAGAAAGAGAGAACTCACAGATCAATTGCATGTAACATCCAACAGCTCAAAAGAAAATGGAACAAACGGAAAAAAAAAAAAAAAGACCTATCGAATATAAGAATCCAAGAGACAACACTACGAACCATCAACAACCGACCGATAAATACATTCTTACAGAAATCTTCGAACCTAAATCGAAAGTCTATTAAATTCATTTCGTTTAAACTCATTCGCACAACAACAACCTCGTACACGAGAAACGTAAATCGAGAAATCCAAATCCTAATTTAGAACCATCGTTTCTGGATGAAATCACGACAGATATGGGAATACATCGAAGGAAAAAAAAAAGAAAAGAATAGAGGAACGGTACCATCTGGAGATGAGATTGAACGACCGGCGAAATCTGCCGGAAGTTCTTGAGAGAATCATAGCTCCAACGGTTTCTGGATTCTGCTTGAGAATCAAAGAAAGATGAAAATGCTTCCATTTGATCGCTTCGAAAACTAACAGAGCAAATACGAACGACGAGGAACCGAAATTAAGGAAATCGGGTGTTCATTGAAGAGTTATATAAGGATGCAGGCAAGTTTCTAGATTATTCGGATTCACCATTTTGCCCCTGTTCTTTCCAGCTATTTACCAGAAATGGTTTTTTTTGGTATTTTAATTTTAAAATATAACATCTATTAATATTGAATATAGTTTACAGAAACTTATAGATTCATCTAGATTATTAAAAAAGGAAAGGGAAAAAAAAAAAAAAGCATTCATGGGATTTTAAGGAGAAATATTTACATTAGCTGGCGTACACGGTTTGGGTTAGATTAGGTTAAGTTTGATTTGGAATTTTTTTGAACAAATTCGAACTTTCTAGTTGGTTGGGTGGGTGATGAACAACCCATTTGTTGTTTTTTATTATTTCAAAAAATTACTTATCTACTGTACAAGTTACATTAATAACAAAAATTTCATAATATGCCATAATATATTGTTAATATTGATTATGAAGGTCAAATATTTTTAATTTTAATAATAATTTTAAAAGTAGATGAGATTTTATAAATTTAATAAAGATAAGTTTGCAGAAGGAAATTTAGTGTTTTATTAGGTGAAAAATTGACTATATTTATAGCTAGTTTTAGCTGTCAAAAGAAAGAATCACTAAATCCATCTTGACAGACTGAGCAACATGCATAGCTTCTCTAACCCAACTCAAGTCAAAGGTTTTCAAAGGTTTTGGCATGATTTTGTAACATTGCGAGGGAATGTGTAACAATCCAGATCCACCGCTAGCAGACATTGTTCTCTTTGGGCTTCCCTTTCTACACCCTTATAAAGACCCCAGATATTGTCCTCTTTTGTAATATCAAGAAGTGTGTAACAACCCAGATCCACCGACTATATTTATAGCTAGTTTTAGCTGTCAAAAGAAAGAATCACTAAATCCATCTTGACAGACTGAGCAACATGCATAGCTTCTCTAACCCAACTCAAGTCAAAGGTTTTCAAAGGTTTTGTCATGATTTTGTAACATTGCGAGGGAATGTGTAACAATCCAGATCCACCGCTAGCAGACATTGTTTTCTTTGGGCTTCCCTTTCTACACCCTTATAAAGACCCCAGATATTGTCCTCTTTTGTAATATCAAGAAGTGTGTAACAACCCAGATCCACCGCTAGCCGATATTGTTCTCTTTGGGCTTTCCTTTTCGGGCTTCCCTTTCCACACCCGGACCCCTCAAGGGTCGTAGATATTGTCCTCTTTTGTAACATCAGGAAGTGTGTAACAACCTTTGGGTTTTCCCTTTCGAGCTTCCCTTTCCTCACCCTTATAAAGACCCCTCAAGGCTTTATAAAAACGCATCTGCTAGAGGAAGGTTTCCACACCCTTATAAAAAGTGTTTTGTTATCCTCCCCAACCAATGTGGGACATCACAATGCTGAATGTAACGGATCAAATAAAAAATAAAAAAAAATTCCACGGTCATCGGCAGTGGTCACCACGCCGGAGTTTTCGTTCGCACAGGACCCACAAAGCGCACCCGACGTCGGGGTCACCATGAAAACCAAACTCGACCTTCAGCCACCTTCAAGACACCTACAAGAAAGAAAAATAGTGAGAAAAACGAGAAAGACAGTGAGAAAACCGACGAAGCTCCGGTAAAGCCAAACCCTACGAAATTGACATCGAAACCTCCGATTTACGCAACGAAAATAATCCCAGAAACCTTTACACACACAAGGGGTAGATTTCGACGTTGCTTACAGGTCGTACACCATCGGGTAAAGGAGACAGAACGATGGATTTCCGAACCCTCTCAGAACTAGGAGTGTTAGGCCCTTACGAACCAAACAAATACCATAAACGGGATTAGGGGGAGGAGGAGACTCGAAAAAAGGAGGAAAAAGGACGTCGAGACGACGTGACTGAGGAGAGAGAGAGCATCGCCAGAGAAATTCGCTAGTAATCGGGCGAGGAAGACGAAGTCCGACCCGCGATCTAAAACCTCTCGGCCTAACGATTCAACCCTCGGCTCACCGAAACAAACCACGGCCCAATAGTAAAGTTCAGCCCAGCCCATCACAACCAAAACCCTGTAGCCCGTCACAACTAGAACCCACGTCCAAAGTTCGACCCGCCCGACAGCCCACGTGCTTGACCCGACGACCCGTGCCTCGACCCGAGACCGCTACACACGCGTCGCCCTCTGGTTGTACCACATGACATGTCTGTAGCATGACACCCCCCTCGGCTCCAACGGCTTGATCGGCTCGGCGGTGGCTTCTCGGCTCCGGTGGCTTATTCGGCTCGAAAAACTTGTTTCTGGCCTATTTGGCACCGTTTCGACCCTCTCGAACTTGATTTTGATCCCGTTTAAGGTAAAATAGATCATTTTAAGGCCGTATTTCACAAATTCAAGTTGGAAATTAATTATGTTTGTGAAATACTAACGAAGATGTCGAATGATCCAATAGGAACCAACCACCAACATAAGCGTAGGACGTATACGAGGAGCTAGGAGCTTACATTTATATTTTAGGGAGTACTTTGGCTAAAGCCTACCAAGTAAGTGGCTCACTCGTCGTAGGTTACGCATTGTATGTTGTATGTTGGCACGTGCCCGTGGATTCGCACGTGTCATTAAATTGTATGCCAGCCTGTTATACTCAATTAAGTACGCTTGTGAAATGTGAATGTTGTTGTTTAAAGTGATATGATGTGCTAGTTTTATGACGTTTATGATGTGTCTGGATTATTCTGGCGTGAATGGTACTATAATTCTAAATGTAAACAGCATGTAATGTATGACATGAAATCACGATAAATTGCATGAAATGTAACCTCGTTAGGACTATGTATGATACGTAGACTGAAAAAATAAGAAATGACATGTTAAGCATGAAAGATGAGAGCAGGGTTATATTCATTAATGATAAAAGTAGAAATATTGAGGACCTCATGCATTATGTGTGCTCATGCATTGGGGGATACCCCTATTCCATCACGAGGGTACGGACACATACATCCAATGGCAGGACAACGATCATTATGTTTTGCATAGCGCTGCCGTGACGGTTACTAGTTCTAACTGGTGTCCTAAGGAGCTCCTAGAGTATACTCGCCCGACAAGGAAAGTGGCCCAGCGGTGTGCGAACTGACTGGTGAGCCCATACTCGCACGCATGGGCTGTGTGTAAAGTATATGATACACGTCCAAATTACCGGTTAGGACAGCATCGTAGGAAGACAGATTGAAAGATAGATCCCATCATCTCATTTGCATGTGATTGTTGCATAACCCCGATAGGAGGTCACTTATGGAGTATTCTAGAAATACTCAAGCCTCGTGCTACTATATTTTTCAAGTAAAAGCAAGACACCGATGTGAAATAAATGACGGCATCGCACATCCCAGGATCGTGGCACATGCATAGGATAGTTGTTTTCCATTTCGTAGTATAGATTAATATAGGTTGACTTTCATTTACATTCATAGTATAGGTTAGTTTAGGTTGAATTCCCATTTGCATCATTAGTATAGGTTAGTGTAGGTTGAATGGTAATCGCATAATAAATCATAGGGTAGTATAAGACATTTATTTCAGCATTGTTCTTTTTCCTTTCTTTCTCTTGTATTCGTTATTCATGAGGTAATAAAAGGCAAACTTATGTCGCATTTATGATAAGAGCCCATTTAAGGTCAATTTCACATTTAAAGTATAGTAAGGACCTTAGATTAAATAGGTAAAATTTAGGGTCGTTACAAAGTGGAAATGATCACCAATGTGTTTGCTTCGACCGTACAAAACTAAATTTCTGGTCAGCTTAATAATGGTATATGGATAGTGAAAATATCGCATTCGTCCAAGATCAGTCATATCAAATGCCTTCATCATGGATTCCTTAAAAGAACTCAACAAAGCCTCATCGTTTCCAGTAAATATGAGGTCATCTGCATAAAGACATACAACTAAGAAAGTACCTTATAATGACTTCTTGAAAAACAAAGTATGTTCATAAGGACACTTTTCAAAACGGTTGTACCACCCACGTGGTGGCGTTGAAGGAACTGTCACTGGTGGGATCTCGAAGGATCTAATTGGCAGGGGTGGGTGTCTCCACTCAGGAAGAGGTCCGGCGACAAGCAGAGTTTGAAGTAGAGGACCTGCTTTCATCACTGCTTCCAAGAGCTTGCCTTTTTCAGGCCATGGCTTTTCTGGAACCAATTCTACTGTGGCCTGCAACTCTGCTTGTGGCGGCAGAGCTGTAGCGAATTGTGGTGGCGGAATTGGATCAATGATAGGAGATGATACAATACTTTTTTCACAATCTGACAAGGAGAAGCCATTGTTGGAATCAATTCCTTTCCTTGGTTCATCTTCAATACAGGAAATTCCCGAATGGGGACCTGTTCGGTGCTGAAGGAAAAGCTTCTCAATGAGTAACTTCTAGATCTTTTCATTTGCTTCTACTACGCCACTTTGTTGACTGAAACCTTTGCACGAGCCAAATCTCTGTCCAGAGTTTTTCTTTCCTCATTCATCTCCTGAATTTTGCACTGATAATCTCTCATAGCATCCCAACTATCACAACACTCAGCAAGGACAACCTCTTCCAGCTCCCTCTGCAACTTTCTGTCGGTGTATCTTGTCCAAGATTTTGCTTTCTTCCCGAAAAATCTCTATATGTTTCATTAACTCTTGATTTTTGCTCTGTAAATCATCCACCATAGAGGCCTTGGCCAGGGCACTTTGAACAGTCCTCTCAGCATCAACCAAAGCCGCTTCCTTTGATTTGGTTAGACGATCTGTGCTTTATTGTCCTCTTGAAGTTTTGCAATCTCCTGTTGTGCAAGCTTGAGCTCAGGCTCCAAAGGTGCAAGAATGTCTTCGATTGGAGGCATGTCATCATGCTTTTGAGTTTGAGCGGCAAATTGAGCTGCCAGGAAGCCTTCTTCTCATCATTGATTTTCTTTATTTCAAGATTCTTACTTTCAAGAAGATATTCTGACAACTTTAATTTCTCCTCAGCCTTCGATAGTTCTTCAGTTAGCTCTTCAACTGCCTTCTCTCTAAGCCGCGCAAACAACTTCAAAGCCTTGATCTTCGCTTGAGCTTCCCTGAGCTCTCTATCCATATCTCGTACTTCATTCTCAAGGCAATTGAGCTCCACATGCACTGGATCCGAGCCATGAAACAAGTTCAAGAAGTCATCGACGTCCACACTTGGCCTGACCGACGTCCGTCGCTGCGACGAGCTTTTACCCTCCCTAAAAGACCCCGAGATCGTCAACGGCGTCGGATTCGGTGCCAGAATCAACGTCGACATAGCCTGGAAATCCACCACCCGTCCATTACTAACCTCCGGCAAAAACCCATCTCCATCGCCAGTTATCTCCGCCATAACCTGATTTATCCGATTCTCTCCTTTTTTTTTCTTTCTGCCACTTCATTTTGATGTGGTGTAGAGGCTGCAGTAAGTTGTCGATGTGATGTGCCACATAACCGCATGATTTCTTATGTTGCTTTTTCAACATGTGCCATAAGAAGCAAGTCAGCTTCTGGAGATTCAATTTCAGAAAACAACCGGTTGAGTCCTCCTTTTGTTCTACCATCTCTTCAACATATGCCATCATGAAAAGCAACAGTTTAGAAGTTTCAGCAAAATGAGCTTGTGATTCTTTTTCCTTATTCTTCTTGGGACATTCATACTGAAAATGACCAAGGTCATGACAATAAAAACACTCAACAAGAGTTTTGTTAAAACCTAGTCTCCCATGTCCTCGTCCTTTACCGCGAATTGTGCCACCTTCATGATTTGTTCTCTATATACTGCTGTCAAGAGTGATCTTCAATGCCTGCTCTTCCACAGTATGTCTTTGCATACGTTGTTTATGAACCAATAGACTACTCTGCAATTCATCAATGGTCATGATGTCCAAATCGTTGGACTCTTCAATGGAACAAGCCACATAATCAAACTTTGAAATCGTGAAGCGCAGGATTTTCTCAATAATGCTAACATCACTCATCTTTTCACCATGGAAACGCATTTTATTAGCAATGGTGAGAGTACAAGAAAAGAAATCAAAAACAGTCTCACCTTCCTTCATATGAAGGGTCTCAAAGTCCTTGCACAGAGCTTGTAGTTGTGCTCGTTTCACCCTTATATTTTCTTGGAATCTTTTCTTCATTGAATCCCAAATTCCTTTCGAAGTTTCTTTATCCAAAATAGTCTCCTAAATTGAGCGATCGATGACCTGAAAAAGGTAGTTCTTGATGGTGTTAATATAACACATGCGGAAGAAATTTGGAACTTAGGCACTTTCAGAACATCAATTATAGTAAATAACTAGCATGTTCATAAGTATTAAAACTTAATGAGTTTGAATACTAACCTTTTGTAGTTCAAATTCCTTTTTCCTCAAGAACCGGTTTCGAACCACCACTAGTGTCTTCTCCACTATCCTCTGGCCTTAGAACGGGATTGTGGAATCCGGCGAGTGACTAAACTTGGGAGAAATTTTGTATATATGAAGTGAGTGTTAGTGAGAGGTTGTTCTCAAGGTTTTTGCCCAATAAGCCCTTCTATGTACCATGATCAGTCATGTTTGCGTGTTCATGCAAATTTGAGATTACCAAATTTTGACACTCAAAATTTCTGGGATTATGTGGCAAGCATGCATGTTTGAGTTAACCAAATTTTGACACCTCAAAATTTCATTACATGGATTTTTTCATTAAATGAAGTCAACATCTTGACTTTCTTCGTTTTAATTCAACAATTAATTTGAATAATTAATTTCAAATTAAAGTAATATTAAATGATTAATTAAACTATTTAATTAATATTTAATATTAACTCAAAAGTCAATCCCAATCAATTCCAACGCATATCTGATTAAAATATTTAAAACTTATTTAAATATCTCAAATTCTCTCTTTTTGTTTAATTCGTAAATAAAACAAAAATGCGGTTAAATATATCGTATATATGTAGCGGATATTCCCTAATTTGAATTCGAACACTTCGAACTTACTTGTCACACTATTCTATTGTTTAGTCCGATATGAGCTAGCAGAGGGATCTAATGGACCTATAGATCATGGGCTCTAACGATCCAAGATTAACCAGTTAACCTCATTAACCTTGTTAATCAACAACACTCGTTAACTACTAGGACACTCTACTATAGCCTAGTAGTTGCACTCCCCTGACTATAGATATATTTCTGTCTATTTAATATAACCATGATTAGTAAGTCGATCCTTCACAGGTTGTTCGTAACTAGAGTTGGGTCAATTAGCCGTTTTACCCCTGAAGTTACTTCTTGTTTCTTATGTTCCACTGATCCTCTTATGAACAATTGGTTTGTGGTCCAACCAGTAAACCGAATCCCTCTTAGGCCAATGAGTGGGTGGGACCCCATGTTCAAGACCTGAAGTCAGTACTTAAGGGAACTACCTCTCTTCTATCCCTAAAAGTTGGTAGGAGCGAATTTCATCTTGCACCCCACGTCCCCAGCTATTCACCCAGTCTTACCTTTAAAATGGGAGGCCTATTGAGTCGGCGAATCGAGCCACTCTCCCCCATGTAAATCTAAGGGTAATTCCGAATAAAAAGGAGTTCATGGTTAGTTTAGGATTAAGATCGAGTTAGCTAGATCATCGAATGAAAAAGAAAATCAGTCTCAACAGTAAACGACATTATAAAGTGAGAGTGATTTTCTTCATGGTCCGATCTTATGCAATACTCATTACTTAGGACGCCCCCATTCATATGTCTCCACATGTACAATTTAGTGATCACATTGTTTATATCATATACAAGGTCCGATCTTATGCAATACTCATTACATAGGACGCCCCCATTCACATGTCACCACATGTACAATTTAGTGATCACATTGTTTATATGATATACAAAAGTAAGCTGCATCCATAGTGTCCCCAGAATAAGGTATTCAGCCTTATCCTTATACTATAGATCATTTTGATTATATACTTAAACTTGATCCTGATCCACTCTTATGTCTCTACATATAGTTCAAGTAATCATACTATAGTCAGAGTATTCTTAGTTTATTGGATTTAGATTAATGATCGTAAAGTTCACTTTAATCAATAACAATCTTTACTGAATAAACAACAATAATAACTTTATTGAAAATAGAATATGTTTTTGTTTACAAACTATGAGTTTTAGGACATAAAATCCAACATTTCTTGGCTCTTAAGTCTTTCAATCTACCACCTCATTCTTTTGTTCATATGAGTAATCAACATTATCTGCTATAACAGAAATCCCAGACTCAACTACTTGCCAATATTCTCTAGAGCGAAGAAAGTTCTCCATTAACATGCTCCAATGATCGTAGTGACCAACAAATTTTGGTATTGCTGATTGAACAAAACTATCTTCAGTAGTCATCTTTAACTGTAGCTGAAAGAGATAAGGCTCTCATACCAAATAATAAATTTAATAAAGATAAGTTTGCCTAAGGAAGAAAATTCCGTGAGAAAAATGACTATATACTTAAGAGAAGATAAAAATAAAATCCTAACCGAAAGCAGAATATCATGTCAAAACAAAGAATTTGGTATAAGATCATACCTATGATCAGATATTGGCATAAGTTCATATAAGTGATCGGATATTCAGAAACTAAAACAAAAATTCCCTCCCTTAAAACACACAACTAAATCTTTTTCAATAAGGTTAGGTCGAGTTCTAACACTATTTTCAGAAGAAAAAAAATGTCAACCTACAAATCGATCGAATTTTTAGTTTTTCAAACATTCAATTTAATCCAAATAAAAAAAAATTAACCCAACCCAACCTTTATGGTTTGGATTTGGTAGTCCAGATTGGTCGGATTTTTGGATCATATGAACACTTATAATTTCTATAAATTTAAAATGACATTTTTTAATTTATTTTTAATCTATATGTTTTTAAATATTCAATTTTAGTCTTTATACTTTTAATAAATATTAATTTTATCTTTTTATTTTAATAAATATTAATTTTATCCTTTTAAATTCATTTTATATCGTCGGACATAGTCGGTATTAATGAAAAAGCTAAAAATTTGCAGAGAGGTAGGAGGAGTAAGATGATGGCGCATACTGTACACGCGAGCACTTGAGAATCTGCAAGTGGTGGGTGCGAATGGGTAAACCGTGGGCACGAGGGAGAGGCTTACAAAGCGTGTGAGGCCTTATCTCGTCTCTCGGTTTGTTTCATTCGACTCCTTTTGACATATTCTATCAAAATTGGCCCGTACTTATACCTTAAAATTTGTGTTTGATAGGTGACTTTACACCATTAATTCTACCTGCAAGAGCTCTTAGCCAAACTGAGTAGTGGATATTGATCAGAGGGGCAACGCTTGTCGTGGTCTTCTACGGTCGCGACATCGTCGAAAGAGCAATTGTCGTAGCAACTCATGGCGCCGAAAGTCACAACTCTTCGTCTTCTAAAATAGTACTTGCGACTCTTCGTCTTCCCCACATTAGCACGGTGCCAAAAGTCGCGACTCTTCGACTCTTCACCTTCCAAAATAGTACTCACAACCATCTCTATAATAAATGAAAAATGAAATAAGTGACGGGGACGGGGACGGGGACGGGGACGGAGACGGAAAAGTCCCCAACGTCTCCATCCCCGCCCGTAGACAATTCCTCCTAAGCAATTTGCTTTTACTTGCACCACAAGAACCACTTCTAGAAACATCTTTACATCTAAAACACAAAATCTTGCAGTTTCAACGACACATCAACAACCATCAAAATTTCCAACAAGACTGGATGTTGTCTTGTTCAAACAAACTCAGCTCCACTGGTTGTTTTGGTCGGGAGTTTGTGTGAAAACATGAAGCCATTTGTTAGAACTCGAGCGCGATATGACCTCAACACCTCGGACTTCTTTTGTTCAAATCGTGTTCGAGTGCTTTCGAAACTTCACCAACCACAGATGATATCTACGAAGAATCAATCAAATGCAATGTTATCTCAACCATGACGGAGATTGATTAGCTTCTCCTTCTCCTTTGCTTTCTTCGACATTCCAAACAATCCGAACACGGAGCAATTTTTCGACCTACATTACTTGCTTGGAGCTTGCTGGTAGGTACTTTCAGGTCCTCCAATAGTATTCGGCGAAGCTTGTTATTGTCCTCTCTTAGCTCTTGAATAAGTTTCTGATGCATCATTACCTGCACATACACGAAACCGAACAAGTCGAATCGATTTTACGAACTAAAAGATGTAAAAAGAAGTGATAGGGAAAACATATTCTTGAAAGCGAGCGAAGATTCAATGATCCAAACGCTTTGTTTCTGAAGTAATAACATTTAAATGCGAATCGTCGGCTGCTTAGGAACAAACAAGTTCAGACTTTCACTCATTAGATAACAGTCCTTTCCATGATGCATCTAACGTACCATTTCGAAGAGTTGGTTCTCGAGCTGCTGGCGTCCGACCTACAATGCAAGAAACATCAAGTAGTCCATAACGAATTATTAATCAGCTCGACTAAATCCATAAAGTAATGAGATTTATAGAAGATCAAAACGACGGGCCAGTTCGAAATGAACGATAAGATCCGCACTGCTGGTACCATACTCAAGCTTGGATCGTTGTCGTGCCAAAACAAGAACAATGTATGTGCAAGAAGTGTGTTTCATGAGCAAATCACACCAAACATTCACTCTTCTTATCCGAAAACTTTTCTTGAATGCACGTAAGAACCTTAAACCAAACATGTATTATCGTACCTCATCCTGCCGTACCGTATCCCCTCCTTTAAAAACAGGATTTTGCAAGAAACTGTCGATGACCTTCTCGGTTCGAGTTCCAAAAGATCTGCTCGACGGAGACTTTCCAGACTGGTTTTCTGGGGCAGTTTCTGGGACTTCTTTTGCAAATTTTCTGATACTTGCAATAGGATGTTCATCTGTCGAAATGTTCGTTATGCTCGTGGCAGATCGGAGTGATGCTGGTACAGCGTCATGACTAATCGGAAGACTAGGATTGTTTCCGAATTTTGTCATCAGCTTCTCCATTGCTTGCTACCAGATTTGGGTATCAAGCTTCAAACACATGTAAATAAGAAGTCACAATGGGAAAAATACGATGGATAAGAGGCCGAGCACCTACCGTGACAGAAGATTGCGCTTGTTGTAGAAATGAG